ATAGATTAGGTCGCCGTAGGTTGAGCTCCTTTTAATTCGTTTCTCTTTCGCCACAAAATGGCACTTATTGGTGGAATAGACCCAAAAGATAATGCTCGGTACATCAGCACAGCACCAAAAGGAAAAAGAAAAGAAAAGAGCTTGGTATAAGCGTGAAAGCAACTAGCAGGCCGACAATATAGTGCCAAGGGTCTGGTACTGAGTCAAATGCGGTCCGCTAGTTTAGGGTCCGGTATGTAAAGCAGGCCAAGTATAGGCTAGTCCAAGTATTGCTAGTCCAAGTCAAGGCTAGTCCAGTACCGTCTTCCCCGAACATAACCTAGTCCAAGTCAAGGCTAGTCAGGTACCGTCCTCCCGCGAGCATAACGCACCCCGAAAATGAATGTATACAAGGTATGTTTCTGGGCTGATACAGTCAAAATTTGGGTGCTTTGCGTTCCGAAGACAACGGTAGGCACCGAGGGTACCTAGCCACCCGGTAGGTCAGGTCCAAAGTCCCATCCAGTCTCCAGTAAGTCTGCCGCCCAGGGTCTGAGGAAGGTCGGTCAACATGCCTAATAGGGCACGCTCACACTGCAGTACCAAATCCGCATAATCCCCAAAATCCCAAAAAAATAGTGTTGAGAGATAGTCACACCAGGATCTCATTTCCCCAGACTACTTATTCGTGACCCCATTTGACAGCGGCCTTAGGGGCCGCGGGGGTTGGGAGTTTGCAGTAACCTCAGGGGCCATGTCCCACTAACATGGCAGAACTGGTTCTCCATGTGACGGAGGAGATTTCTGCACCTCCTCTGCATCCATTGGTGGCTTCTGTGGAAAGTTTACCCCATTTGACAGCGGCCTGAGGGGCCACGCGGCTTGGGAATTTGCGGCAACCTCAAGAGCCATGTCCCACTAACACGGTAGAACTAGTTCTCCGGAGAGCTTTCAACCACGACCGACTTTGTGTGACAGTCGAAGGAGATCTCCGCGCCTCCTCTGCATCCATCGGTGGCTTCTGTGGAAAGTCCATTTAACGATATTAAAGTAGATTTCATGTTGCACAAATTGACAAAAATTTGGTCTCTCTCTCGAATACAACGACCCGTGCCCTTTCCCTTTTCCGTAGAACCAGCTACCCCAGTTCTACAGTAGTTGAGTCATCATTACCTCCTCGTGGAAGGAGACTCTGACAGACGAGGGAGGGCGCTCTGACAGACGTGGGAGCACACTCTGATCGACGTGGGAGGACACTTGTTTCTTTATTTGGGCCGTGAATGCACAGAGACAGATATACTGTCCACGTTCATTCCATGCTGTATAATATGTTAGTAAGAAGTGCACTCTATAGATTGGTGTGAAGTTTGCTTGGGATGGCCTTATGGTTTTCTTATAAATTGAGGTGAAAAATGGGGGGTCGGTTAACCTTTTCTCCTATAGTGAGGTCCCCAGCCTCCCACTTACCGCAGTGCACGAAGTGTTTCTCGAGTTTTTTTTTTTTGTCCGTTTGACTTTTACGAAAATATGGACAAAAGCATTCTGTACAATTTCTTTCTCCATTTTATATTTTGGAAATTAATGGAAAAGGCTTTCAGCAGCATTTGTTTCACATTTTTAAATGAATTTTTCCATTTGTTTTGATTTTTTTTATTCACAAAAACTATGTCACACCGTAGAACTAGCTCTACTCTACAGTGTACGTGGGACATGGCCCCGGAAGGTTAGCGCAAATGGAAAGAAATTAGAAGACGCGCAAATTCCCTTCCTTGTTTGGAATCAACCTGCGGAAAGGGAAAGAAATTCAAAGACGAAGATGACCCAAAATGGAAAGATATTGTTGACAGGAAATGCGATCTCACTGGAGCAGTCGAAGAGGACCCTAAACCCAAAATCCAGCCGGCCGCCACCTACCTGTTGCGAAATGGGGAAGCAGTGTTGACTGGTCCAGCCACTATTTTTCCAAATCGGTATTCCCATTTTTGAAAGAAAATACGATTTGGGGTACGCAGAGTGAGCGTGCAATAAGATGAGAACACGGTTCTGAATGCTACAGGGTTCCCCGTGTGCCTACAATTAGGAGTAGTGGTTGGTAGGTAGGCAGTGTGAGATGAAATCGAGAGAAGAATATAGCTTTCCAAAAAAAAATGAAGAAGAAGAAGAAGAAGAAGATGGAGAAGGCCGACCATCCAAGCAAGCCACTAGGTTACTGGGTACCAGGCCAACGCGTTCAAGCGCTGCAAAGCTGAATCATCTCGCATTCAAGAGCTCAGCAGTACTTGCCGTCAACAATAAAATCCTTTCGTCCCTGCAGTGAAAACGCTGCTGTGTTGAAGTGCGACCGAGTGACATGCCGCACAATGTGAGGCTGATAGTAGAGCCGCAGTCGACAGGCAACTGGGCACATTCGTTGTAGTTTACCGTAGTGAATAAGAGAGAGACAGAGAGCGAGAGGAGAGATTCATAGAGAGAGAGAGAGAGTTCATCCTGGGTTGTTGCTTGCTGGCGGCCATAGCCAACCAGCCAATCTGTAAATGAAGTTGAATGCATACGACGTGGATTTCCAAACTATTTTAGCTCTCATATCAAATTGCTTTGGCTGTCATGTCTTCTATGCTGAAGTGTGTAATTCGATTCGGAACTACATAACTAGCTGTGGCATGAGATGTTGGTTTCAAGTTTGG